CTGTAGCTTCGTGATAGCGCTATAAATAATGATCTTCAAATATATTCATATCCATATATCTAAATAATGTTATTTAATTGGCAAAGTGTCGTCGTCTAAAAAAAGATCGCACTGCCAGCTCAACTCTCTCGTTGGTACCTGTACAGGTTCCCCACGGGTCACACTGTTGATAGTGTGTATCGACTGCAATATATGTATTTTTAGCTTCAATAGCTGTAGCAGTAGCACACGTAAGCTATTAAGCTTTTCGGCTTATTTACTTTAGGCTGTTTTGTGGTCTCTGCGTCCAAAGCGTTGCATCCCCAATCCGCTCAGCTTCATCGCAACCTCAGATTATGAGAGCGAAGGTCTATGCGAAATACCGACGGCTAGCGCGTTCGTATGGGCACGATAAGACCCCCCCCCACCCCCGTATGCTGCCACTAACATTCTCACTCGTGCGCCTGTGCGCAGGAGTCCGATACAATTGATGATGAGTGCTACAAGACCGTGCGAGAGATAATAAACGAGCACGACCGCATTTGGGATTGGCTCTGTGCGATCGAGAAAAAACAGAGTCGAACGTCAAAATGAGCTTGCGTTAGTGCGTGCACGGCTAAGGACGAGCGCAGGATTTCGGTATCGCAGCGAGAAGAAGAGGGAGCATACGTTTGTGAAGAAGATTCGCGAGCATAGACGGAGTATGGAAGGTCAGTTGAGCAATTTATTTGGGGCCAATGCAATCGCGACCGACTCGATGGCGTAAGGGAAATGATCGGCGAAGAAGAAAAGATAACTGGGGAGGAAGCGCTGGCGGAGGGCTCCCTGTCGGTTCTAGATGATGTGTCTGTGGAGAGGAAACACAAGCGTAGCGATTTACTTGATGTTTCCGGCTGGGATTCTTAGTATGCATATGTGGTGATGATGGTGCTAACCTCGGTGGCTGCGAAGGCGAAGATTACATACCTGTCGACAACCGATTATTAATGATCACAACAAAACATGTGCTACGACGACTCGTAAAATTTGTCGTCGAGTCGTCTCCGGAGCTGAAACATACGCGTGCAACAGGAGGAAGGTAACGCTAAGGAAAACCTGAAGATGCCGAAGGGTTTGATGGTTAAATCTACTCATGGTCAGCTTCGTGACACTTATCATGATTCCGACGCGCTACAGAAATCACTCCTGAAACCGCCTAGACTGTCATTAAACCGCGATACACTTCAGGGTAAGTCTCCGAACCCTGTCAAGATGTCAGAAGATCACCTACAGTTTCAGCATTCATGGAATTTGATCCCGTGAAGGCTGCACTATACTATAGATTAACGAAGATGACATTGATCGTCTTCTTGGCACTCTAGCTTTTTTTCCTGATCGAAAAAGATTTTTAGACTAATTTCCAGGCGGTGGAAATCGTGGAACTTTTTCACGAGGAATATGGTAATTTCACTGCGCAGCCGTACCAGCGTATTTGCTTACGGTCAACTACATCGGTGGATAAGCGTAATAAAGATAGAGAGAGGATCGTAAAAAAAACACACACACACGCCACTGCTGATAAAAGACGCAGCCAGGCCTTTGCTATAGAGGCGTTCATGTGAATACGCTCCTTTTTCATGTAGTTTTGAAGGAATCATGAATTTAACCTACAAGCAAAATTCCCGCATTAAATGTAGTGAGCAAAGTCACTACATCAAATCAGATGTAATACCTGTCACAAATTGTAGAATTTGCATCCCTCAAATCTTTAAAGTAAAAGTACCACACTCTATACATAAATTACACGTAATTTCGGCTAACCGAGCGCTAATTTCAGCCAGCCATGGTTGTCCGAACGATCCGAACAGTTGGCCATGGTCATTCGAACCTCGATGACCATGGCTTTCGGACGGGTACGGTAAACCGAAAATTACGTTTGCGACCTCTGCACTGTACCCAACTTGGTAGTCAGTTAGGTTTCACCTTTAATG